TAATTATCTATCGTCGATGATTATCGTACGAAAGAATATTCTACTAACCAGATTCTAGTGTGATATTTGATACAAAATTTTTATACAATTTTATATCATATTAAAATGATCACACAATCTATGACGAACTATATATCTGCAATACGTGTGTCCCATTATAATCACATACAATGAGAAGACGAACTATTAAATTAAACAGTCATATCGAATCATATTGAAATATATAAAATCCAAGCGCTTTACGAGTATTTTTCTCACTTGAATGTAAAGACCTATATAAAACATTAATATTCCATTTTACTCAAGAGCTCCTTTACCCGCTGGCGACAAATCCTTTGGAGACGAATAGATACGCGCGGCTTACTCGTCAGAATTACTCTACCGCTCATTGTCTGACCTGAAACGCTTATTAATGTCGCGGCGCGTTCTGAAAGTGATAAATTGCCCCGGCGCGTATCACAGCGCGCGCGCGAACATTTTTCCGGAAAATGCCGGAAGGTCTTTGTGCACCCTCGCTTCTCTTCTGCGTCCTCATTTTTCACGGTTTTCAGTTATGCCAGGCGCTGATGAAATTGCCGAACGGGTGCGCGGCAAAGCGCGCCGATGGCTGCGTCGAAGCGCGGGGAATCTGTTTGCTCAGTTCTATTTAGGAGGTATGCGCGACCGTATAAACCGTCGTGTTAATAGAATATCGTGCCCCATCCCAAAGGAGGCATATGGGCGCGAGATAGCAACCCGTTGCCTCCCCATATCGTTATCGTTATCGACCATATCGAGCTACCCACGGGGGCGGAAGCTTAACTCCGCTCACGAAACATGCACGCCCGCAAATTCGATCTCGCGCGATGTCTGCCACGAAATGATGTCTTAATCTTTTATGATATTCCGCGCGCGAGAAAGAGAGAGGGAATTAACATTTATTTTTGAATATGAGGTGACAATTGAATTTTTCGCTCTTTTTGACATTGTTCGATATTGTTCCCCTTAGAGATTACCACTACCTCGTTTAAAAGATAGATATCATGAGCGTAAATGAATATCTTCCAATTTTAGCCAAAAAGTTGTTTGCATTTCGACAATAAATATATTTCAATTTATTTTTTTGTGAAAAAGCGTTTTAGGAGAAGAAAATGTTCTTCAAAACTCTTGCAAGATATTCTGCAAAATAAGAGATGAATTGTAAATTTCAAATACATTGATTTTTTTTTAAAACAAAATTATGTAATTCTCTTTATGAAAAAATGATTTCACCACATGCGTTCATAATCTACGATGTACATATTGCAAATTTTGTAATATACTTTATTTTATTATGTTTCGTACACGCACACACGCACAACACACATGAATTGCAAGATAGAGGATGACAAAAATAAATATCATTTCTCGATCTCGACTTAGCTCGCGCAATTGCCATCGACATCGTTCGCGAATCGTCAATTTATCTGAACGGCAAAATCCAGCTTCTCGAACATAGCTAAAAGGGAATGCTCATATTGCTGCGAGCCGATCGAGCGCATACCGCGACGAATTGCGACGAAGCGCGAGCAATAGAATAAAACGGCTAGAAAAGAACGGACTCTTCGGCAATGCACTAGATGCCGAAATCGACGATACGATCCATTTCGAAATATCGCCTGTACGTAGTTTCGAGCCAAGTGCGACTAGAATAGAAACTGGTCGGAATACTATAGTGTATCGTAACAATGGGACACTTTGTACAGGCATTTGCTCCGCTTTTCGCTATCGTAACGGGGAATAAATATTGTTTCAGTGCCGCGGCCAAGATTCGACGCGTCGGCTTAACGCGGTGAAATATGGCAAGATCGTGAGCGCAACGTGCTTTGACATTAACTGCATTATCGCGTTCACTTTTCATGGCGCACAGCCATTAGTTCATATTAACGAGAGAGAGAGAGAGAGAATTTTTGCTTTTCGCGTAATAATTTTCAAAAGCTAGGAAACATGTCATAACATATCCTTTTGTGGCAATGTATCCTCGCATGAAAACTTGAAAGCTGTGATATATGTTTTTTATAAGATTGTAAATGTTTGCTTATATATATACTTTCCCTTTTAAAACATTAAAATTATCTTAAGATATTTATCTTAATCTTTACTTTATAGTGTATACATATATTCTGGAAATTTTATATTATTATTACATTATAATTATTTTTCTTGTTTTTTACTTATTTAAAATAATTCAGCTTACATATGACTTTTTTATTGCAAATTTAAATTGGAAAATTGTTAGGGCTTGTTAATGCTTAGATAACACAAATAAGCATACAAAGAGTAAAATCGGAAATCAAGACAGACATTGTTCACGTTGCGACTAAATTTAAAGGCGAAGTAGAAAATTTCACCAACGCGTTGTTTTCCACCGAGTTCAAAGCTACAGATCAAACAACTCGAATTACGTGCCCCGACTGGAAGGTACAAAGTTTGGAAAATCATCCGGCGAGTGGGCAGTGCCTGTATTGTTCTCGTGACCGGTGTTTGCTTAGCCCGTACCATGACTATAACAAGAAGTTATTGTTGCCGCGGAGTGCAGAGAATGCAGAACCTTATTGAATTCGTGCAAGGTGCAGGGGGATAGCCTTTGCGCATCGAGAACCGAGTTCGGTAGCTTTCATTCCCTGATATTCATCGAAAGTTGTGAGAGAATGCTTTATTGAATGGCAAAACAACTCCGAGGAATGTAAAAGTTTGTCTAGAAAGTGTGCAGAAATAGGATATATATAGAATATATTCGATGTACACAATATGTACATATATATAAAATTTCAGAATGTAAATCAATTAACTAACAAAATTATCATGTTAAAATAAATTTAACACACAATTTGCACAGACAATAAAATAATTAAATTAAAATTTATATTTGTCAAAATATCTCTATAAAAATAGAGATCGCGCATGCACAATTTCATTATATATGTTATATAAAATATTATAACAATACATCTGTATGTCTCCACCATATTCTATCATGTAATAAATATTTTCGATATCGACGATATTTTTTGATAAATATTTATAATATATATCGCGCTTTATATAAAATTTTTCATTCTTTTATATTTTCCGTAACAAAAATAGCAGCGCAAACTGACAATATTTGCGGTGAATTAATTTCAGCAGCTCGCCGTTTTCAAGATACCGTACTTTTTGATCCCGTTACATCTTTGTTATGCCCTGAGCATCGTCATGCTATTTCCGCCATTTTCGCATATACCTCGTAACAATTTCAATTTCTACCTGCGCCGAAGTCCCATTTTCCCCGGCATACAATGGAAAATTTTATCGGACGCGTTCTATCTCGCCCTTCTTGCATGCACGGCCGTTCCATTGGGGTTTTCGATGCCACTTTCATCATTCCCTGTGGATCTGTCCGCGTTCTTTTTCATCATATTCAGTTATTCCTATGGGATTATGATAATAAAGATTTCCGCACAATCGCCGAAATCTCCGTTAATGGCAACTCGAGTGATTAAATCAAATAAAATCCGCGCTGGGATGCATCATATAGCAAAGTGTCATTGGAGTAAATTGATTCTCTCTTTCTCTATCTTTCTTAACAATTATTAAATTAAATTAAATTAAGTTTATTAGTCCTTTTCTGAAAATTTTCGAAAATAACAAATAAATATATTATAGATTTTAATAAAAGTTTTTATTTCTAATATAATATTTTTAAATTAAATTTCTTAGTGCAATCGTATCAGATCACAAATAGTATTTAAAATATACTTACTATATAATATATTTTTTTCTATAACGAACTGGTATTATGTTGAACTAACATTAAAAGATGGATTTACCAGTTGTGTTATATATATATAAGCTATTGTGTTCACAACAGTATATGATAGCAAGATATTAATTAACATTCTGTAAATTGGACGCTCTAGTTAACATAATCAAGAATGCAGTAAACATGCATTAAACAATCCATTTATTAATTACTCAAATTAGACGATATATTAATGTTAATTATTAGAGAGAAAGGATTTATTTAGTATTGAATTACATTATTTCATAATAAAAAGAGTGATAAAACGTCTAAAATATAATTGTGGCAAGAATTTTGAGATTAACGTTGTTTTATCTTTTCAAATCATTAGTATTTGATCATTGAACGTCATGTTTCGTAAATGCTAGATATGATTGTGGATTGTGAACACTGATGTGACGCTTGATAATTCTCGAAAGTTTGTGTTTAATCAAGTACTTATTGCAATTACCTATGGCATGCGCAACTTTTACTCAGACTGCTGACTATGATGTTATAAAGCGAGTTCCGCGTCTAATCTCGTTTGAATATACGGTATACTGAGTTTCCATATTCATCTAACTTCGACTTTGCCTTTAGCACGAGTTATATAGCCCGGTCAATGTTTCGTTAGATAAGATTTGTCCACGGATTTACGTGCTTTGTTAAACTTCTCGACAGAGAGCTACATTTTTTCGATAATATTTCTTCCGATAATTTTTAATGATAAAATACGTATAATGTCTATATATATTTTTAAGAGAATACGAAATATAAAGTGTCTCTCTTTCTCTCTCTCTCTCTTTCTATCTCTATAAATTTTTTTATGTTTATTCTTTTACATAAACTTCTGAAAAGAAACATCTTTTTTTATTGGGAAATTTTTCCATTAGAAAAATAAATTATAAATAAAAAATAGGATATTTAAGATAAATAAAATATTATTTTAAAATATATAGACATACAAAAAAAAAAATTTATTTGCATGCAGAAAATCTAATATAAAATACGTCTAATTTAATTACAAGCTTACTACTTTAACCTTTATACCTTACTTTAAACTTTACAGTAGAAACAATCGCTATGATTGTAGTTGATATATAAAAAAATAATTAAGAGAAACTTAAATTCTAAAATTTAATTTTTTAGATAAAGAGATATTTGCGCAGCATTTTTTTATATTTTTGACATTACCATCTCAAAGTGATATGTTTTGTTTCAGGTTCCAGTATCGCCAGCGTGGTAGCAGGAAGCAAACCGACGAGATCTTGGGACAAACCTCAATTCGACGATATTGCACCGCGAAATGTCACTGCCATCGTCGGCCAGACGGCGGAGCTGAATTGTTATGTCAAGCATCCGGGCGACCGTGTGGTGAGTGATATTTTCATGCTACATTTGCCACATATCCATTGTTTTTTCCCCTGTACGTCGGATGAGAATCCAGAAGAAGAGAATTCTCATCGGCAATACACCAATTCTCCCGATTTTCTTTCTCTAGTAACTGTTTGTTATTTATTTAGCACAAAAAAATTATCGTGATAATTTTGTAGCATAAATAATGGGTTATGTAATATAATAGCGTAAAGATATTTGATTCTATAGAGTTTAATTACGCACACACTATATTCCATTTTCATATTACTTCACACATTATCACGTCGAGCTGCTATTCCGTATTACCGTTGATTTAATCACGTTGATTAATGTTGTGAAATTGCTAGTTTGAAAAACGATAGCTCTCGTACAATGTTAAGTTGTCGTGTTACTTCAAAATACTTGAAACAGAGATCCGAGATTATGAGTACATGAACCTGTGGCTCTATGTATTAGCGGGAATTGTAAAACCGCACGCTACAGAAAAAATGGATCGAAAAGATAAATTTTTTTTTGTCGAAGTGCTCTTAATATAAATAAATTGTATACGATCCTTATTTAACAAGCTTATATAATGCCATGTAATTGAACTTTAATTGATAAGGGATTCAATTTGGTTGCTTCATCACTGAGCATATTTACCTTCGGACAACGTAATCAAAAACATAAACATTTCAGTTTAACATGCTTGTACTCTATACGTTCATAATAACAAATATTTGTTTCCCTATCTACAATTAATACCGCATAATTGCAAAGTCGCGTCGCGATTGCGCGGAAACTTTGCGCACATCGGTATGGAAATCTCTCTCAGAAGAACGTTTATCGTTAAGGGATGCAAATGGGACAGCGGAACTCTCAAAGTCTCGACAAGTGAACAATAACACTGTCCTGAGACAGTTCGCCGCTAACTGCAAACAGTTACGAGAACTCGCGCGATCCAACGTGCTGTGTAATAACGGCAGCGCTTTCACGATGTCCGCGCGTAGAGTAACAGCAGGATAAAAACTCGCGCAGACATTCTTGCACGGGTTGCATTCACAACGGCCAACAAGAAACGCAAGAGGTTGCAGCCTGATTAAATGCAAATCTCGCCATTATTACGGCATCCGCGCGCAGAATGCAACAAAGTCTCTTAACGTCGCTATTCAATCAACACAGAGACGTAAAAAGATTACATCTCGTTTTTAATTAAATAAAATCGTTCGTATATTGATTTCGTACAAATTATATTCTCGTTGGATATGCGTGATTGATGGATGGTTTTATGTTTTGCTGACAATAAGATCTTAATCTTTAGGGTGGAGCTTTCATGGTGGGCTGCAAAAAGCATTTATGACATCGTTACGCTTTATCGATCCGCCGCAAATTGTTTTGAGTATTATCTTCGACAGACATTAACGGATCGTTAAACTTTAACGACCCGTTAGTGTACCGCAGATACATAGAAAGTCAAATGTTCAATTCTCGTTTCACAGGAGATTCGAGTTTCAAACACTTGCAACGAAATACCATCGTTTAACTTAGTTGCTTGTTTAAGATTATGTTTATTGCAATGTCCTTAATAGTGAACGTTTCAACTACATATAAGCTTAACAAGTTTAGATCTTTTATTATTATTATTATTAAACAGATCTAATTATAAAAAATTATTAATTTTTTATAACTCTATCTTTTTTGTAATATATATTTGAAATAATATTTCAAACACATTGTAAAGATATGTTGAAATCACCATAAAATATTTAAATATTTGAAATATTTATTTGATCAATTGATTTCTACTTATTTTATTTAATTGAACACTCCTTTATAGCATCTTTGCAAGTTTGCTTCCTTTCTTTATAATCTGAAATTTCTAGTTATAATAAACGCCAGTTTTAATTCCAGTAATTTCAAACATTACTTTTAAAACTTTATATCGGATTTGCATGCAATTTAAATGCAAATTTTAATTTTGCAATAAATTTAGTAAAGCATTTTAAGCAAACGTATCAAAATAGTAATTTCGGATGATTTATGTTTAATTAACTTCTTGTTAAGTTTAACAAGAAGCGTTTCTTCCTCTATGACCGTGCAAATACAAACGAACAGAGTCGGTTATTGTTTGATCCTGGATACTCTGGGGCGTCGACAAGACCGTTTGTGTGAATTCGTTTGCATTGTCTAAACCTTGTTGCCTATTTCGTGAAAGGAAACGCGCGTCTCTAGGTTCATTAACACTTTGCGTAGCGATAGCAATAATGCAATGTCCTGATAGGATAATTGTCTTTGTGTGTAAATGGCGTATATATGTTGACACATTTAATTACGGCAATTTGTCGCTCTTTCGTGCTCAATATATATTCGTATCAATTCCCGTTTGTATATATAAATTTATAAAAACAGACGGACGCGCAAAGTTTAAATAAACAATTATCTGTTAATCATGTAAAACTCTCATTTCTCAGTTAATCTGTGTCAATTACATTATCTGACTTGTGTCAAACCGCGCAGTTTCTGGAATATTGTACATCGGGCGGCAAACTGGATTCGATTTATACGTAAATGCTCGCATAATTATGAGTGTTTATCCGAGTTAGCATACATATCGGCGCGATATCAATATGCACATTAAATTCATTAAAGTTGCGTAATGAACAATTGAGGTTTAATGTTTATTTTGCACTGCATATTCGCGTATTACTGCACCCTAGAGCGTATAATATGTTCGCATATACCAGAATGCGCGTTATACATTATTAATATCATTCGTTCAGTTTTAATCGCGCGCGATCATCCGCGATAGTTTTATAATATTTAAACAAAATTGTTAACATTTCACTTAGTTAACTATTCTCTCCACTCGCAACAAAATATCTTTTATTTATCACGATACACAAATTAATGTTCCCGATTTTAATAATACATTGAGCATTGTTTTAATAGAATAATGTTATTTAATTATCATAATGTCGTCGATTAATCTACTTCATATGGATATTATGTTTCTGTGCGCGCCTAAGTTTTAAACAACGAAGACAATGTCCAATAAAGCTATAATTAACAGCTTTAAATGAATTCTAAAAGAGAATTAGCTAGAGTTTTATCTTTAGCAAGCTTTGCATATAACGAGCGATCAATTGTTCAACGCTTCTTACATACACGCAACACCTGCAATCTCGGTAGGACATCGTTATCAAGGAGTTTGATTATTTTGAAACGGAACAATCGTCCTCTTACTTTAACGCATCATTGGGCACCCCCGGTTCTCGTATCAAGAGAGATGGTCGTTACACCACTTGTCTTTACTCGCTCCTGAAATTCCCAAGAGTGCACGCGCCACATTGTAGGTTCATTCATCCGCGTCATGTGTGCGTATATGTGTATATGTATACATGGTGTCTACCTTTTTTTCTTCTATGAAGAATAATTGGGAAATATTCTACAATTTGTGGCATTATTTATAATTAAAATAATTTTAATTGTTTCTTTCTTCTAAAATTTAGTTTTGATACTTAAAAATATAATGCGTTAGAAATAATAAAAATGCATACAGAAAAAAAAAACAACACACATACAGCACAGAGAAAATACATCTTGAAAATTGCCCATCTAAATAATTTTTTTATATAAATAGTTTTTTTTGTATATATATTTTTTAGAATTTCTAAGTGTTTTTTAAGCTTTAGAAGATACATGACTTCGGAAATTGAAGCAAAACACCCGGTATATACAACGTATGAACGTGTGCATGTATCTAATGATCGTCTTGGTTACACAAGGGCTGCTTTTAATTGGCAGACGCAAGGTCCTGGGAATAGTAGAAGAAGCAAGAATAGAGATCGCAAGGGTGGTTATCCCCGACAGAGCGTCCTCAGTGCTGGCAAATGAACCGATCAAGCATACCCGGCCAAGTGGTTGCTGAGAGTATTGGGTCAGACCACCCGCCACTACGTCCATGATATACATGTCGCGTACAGCATGCACGTAACCGGCACAAACCTCTCAAAATACGTATGCACGTTGCTGTTATATTGGCAAGTGTGGATAGCTGGCGAAGATCAAAGGATAAGTGTCGGAAGGCAACTACCAAATTGAATAAAGCGACGAACGTGACTTCAATGCTGTAAACGGTTTACTTTAGTCGATACGGTTTGCATGTTACAGTGAATTTGGCCGATTGTTCTGTATATCTTTTTGAAATATTATACTTAATTTTTAAATTATTTAAAAATGGAAATATGATATTGTGTCGAATTATTGTGCCGAAAAATTAATTTTTTTTTAACTAAATTGCTGAAGTGTTTTATATAACTACTATGATTATAATATTGGAAAGAGACTGATTATTATATCGAATATTAACATTTTTGATAACATTAAAAAACACGACGGTTATATAATATATTTGAAATCGATTCTGCGCGTGCGTGAATTATATAAAGTGATGTGTTGAAAAATGAGAATTTTTCGTTTAATTAACAATCGGCGGTTTTATATCGGAAAGAAAAAGCTAACCAAAGTACATCGTATTTCTCACCGCAGCCAAGCTTGTAAGCGGAACAGCCGGCTTGATTGTAAAATGGATCGGAAGTAATCTGTTTAATCGAGCCCTTCCCATCGCATGTACCATCTGAAATAGTTCGAATGGCTTAGGCTTAATCGTGTATCTACGTATCACCAAAGCAATGCTGTTGAAGGAATTCCGATACACGCTACAAGGGTTAACATTTGATTGCGCGAATCGGCTTTGCATTTTCATTAGGCAAAATAGAACGCACCAAGTTCTGTCGTCGCTGATTCTCTTTGTGCAACATTATATTTGTTTATGCTGATAAAGAGCGAGTGCTCTTGAAACATATAATTTTCTCTGACGTAATATTGGAGAATCGGCGAAAATTTCATTTTAATAGTCAAAAATACGGCCAACCCAAGCTAACGTTTCATCCATTTAACGGCGGTATTAAATAATAAATCAGCAGCAGGTAGAGGCAAGCATCGTAAACCGATTCGTT